CCAAAGCATAGTTGCTCATCTGTTTTTCAAGTTATTTATACACTGAGTTTCCCTGAATTGTCCCAAAATTTCTTAAGTATACAGATTTAGAACAATACGTAACATTTACTGTTTCCAATTTTTAATTTTTAATTTTAATTTTGTTTCCTAATATCTGGCAGTACAAGTAATTTAATACTTCCCATTTTCTTTAGGAAATAAAATCCTTCAACAAATATTGTCAGGTTACGTGAACTGGGGGAGACTCTGTTCACTTTACAAATTACCTGTGGAGGTTTGATCTTGCTATGTTTGGGAAGATAACAGACCTGGATTATGGGTACCAAGATAGTGATGATAGTTACAGTGCTACCTATGGAAAACTTACTGTGTGCTCACACAGTACTGGCCACTGTGGGTGTAGCATCTTTTACCTATATGATAATATCTTGAATGTATTACCACTAAGTTTCCCAGATCAAAGAAACAGTATTGGAGAGCCTCTGTGACTTGCACACAGTCACAGAGCTGGTAGCTCATAGCACTAAGTTTTGACCCAAGCATTTTAGAACCACTTGCTTGCTATGAATGCACTCAACTACTAATGGTAAGATAAATGTTCCCAACTTAAGCATAGTACTTATAACTGAAATGTCCATAATTTGCAATGTTCTATTCAAAGACTAACAAAGATCCATCTTCATTAGAATGGATGTTGCTCATGGAAGGTGTTGTGCAGGGTAAACATAATCATAGTAAATCCTGCATGTGTGCAAATGTCATAATGATAACATATAACATAATATATAACATAATAACATAAATAACATATACTTGTATAACTAATATATGTTCATTAGAAAAAAGAATTGGTACCATTCAATATAATCTAGTTAGGAAAGCTATATAATCAGGGAATTCAACCCTTTTCTAATCCTCCTGTCATTTTGAAGATATTTTCTATCAAATGTCTCTCAATTCTGTTGAAAGGGAAAGCAAGAAAGCTCCCCAATGACCAAGAAAGGTCAACAGCTCCCCCAGGCACTGACACCCTACTGTCTATTTTAATAAGAAGGTATGGCTGTCAAAGCCAGAGCTCCAGAGAACTCTGGTATGGGGAGCAAGACGATTTCCAGACTCCGGTTTGCACGTCCAAATTTAAACATTTCCACACAAATAATCACTGCCATGGTGGAATATGTCATAACCCTGACCCAAAGGATGAAAGCTGGGGATTTTGCAACTTGCTACTGGTCAGCAGCTTCATGTAAAGTCTCAGTTTCTTTGAGGCAGGATGACTGGTAACCTAGCGCTTTCATGATAGGCCAACAATGTGACTTTTTATACTTAAGCATATCCTACCACCAGACCTACTGACATTTCCCCTTTTCTTTTCACTTCTGGATAGAAAGCTGGCTGGTCAACATTTTCAGACTTCTTTCCATGCTGCTGGAGAAACAAGGCAAAGACAAAATACTACTCAGAAAGCCTGACTCATCCTCACTACATTGAAAAGGAGGAAAAGGAGACTACTCTCAAACCTTAATCACTGAAAATTACAGGTCAGATAAGACAATTATAAAGGAAACAATAGAGCCTCTGGAAATCCCTAAGTGGAAAATGAGAAAGTTCCGTAAGAAAGGAAGCTGAGGAGAGGTCTTAGGGACTGTTTTCCAAAAGAGGTGGGACAGGGCTCTGCCTGCCCAGCCCTCGTGTTGATAACATCTGACAAAACCCACTGTGGTTCAAAGAGGCTCAAAATAGGAGCAGAAGCAGAATAAAAATCCAGACCTACAAGCGATAATGATACTGTCTATAAAAAAAGGCAAGATGTGCAGAAAGTGGCGTACAGTCAGAATGCTAGACAGAAGGCTTTTTTAAAGCCCTTTTGGGAGAGTTCTGTGGATTCTTAAATACCACCTCACGCAAATGTTTACCGAAATGCGTGCTCTTGTGACATCCTTCTATTTCTTCATTGTATAATTAGGAAGCATAAAGAATAGAATTGTTGAGTACTTTTCCCATCCTGCTATTTCCCTAAGTCTCTTGTTGATTGAATTCCTGGTAGGAGTGTAGTTATTCAACCTCAGTGGAATTTCTGCAATACTCATCTTTAAAAAAAAATTTTTTCTTTCTCTTTTTTTTTGCATTTTAATGCCTAAGTCGATGAGTTGAAGATCAAGAGATGTTTAAAGAAATTGTGTAAATTAGTTGCTCATATAAGGCAAAGTACACATACTTCCCTTGAAAATCATAAATAAGACTTGAAAGCCCAGATTTCTTTACAACTTTCTCTCAGAGCCACTCTCACAAGTGTAGCAACTATACATTCTAATGAGTTCATCTGTATTCTGCTCATGTACTGCCAGGCTCAAAGAACTTTAAAATTCTCATCATCATTTATGAGCAAGGCCTGACTCACCAAGATTTCCAAAGCAATCAGTGGCAAAGTTAATTGGAAGCTAGATTTTTCTCTAACACCTACAGAAAAAAAAATCCATGCAGTACTGAGGGGAAAAAAAATATAGAGCTAACGAAGCAAGACTAAATTTAAGGATGGCATTTCTAAACTGGAAAGAGAGAGACAGGAAGGGAGCATAACTCACAGAGGATTTAAGTATGTGTTAGGACAGTATTGTTTCTTCTCCTTTCATGGCTTGAATGAAGTAATACAGGGCCTGGGAGAAGCCTGGCAACTGCTACAGATCCCAGCGACCACTGAGATCTTCTCATGGGTCTAAATTCCAGAGAGAGAAAAGAGTCAGGATAGCTTTGTACTCAGCCCCAAGAAAGGCCACAGAAGGAGTAGCAAATGAGAATTGACAATTCTCGGAGCAACACACAAGAAGCAAATAACACAAACTACCTTCCAATTGGGGTCTGATGGTATCCACCTTCAATCCTAGTACTTAGGAAGCCTGAGGGCAGGAGGATCCCCAAGCTCAAGGCTTGCGTGGCCTATGCAATGATACCTTGGTGCAACCAAGCAATACAGTGAACTGTAATTACACCACATGCTGGAGGGGTTGATGGAAAATAATCTCTCAATGCCAAAGAAGTTACCATCTCAAGGAAGAGAACCACAGACACAGACTACCAGAAAGAATGGTACTCAGGGTATGGGAATCCATTCAGAAGTGCCCAGCAGGGTTTCAGCAAGTTGATGTGAGCGGGGTGTCAAAGGTTGTCTTCCGAGCTTTCCCCCTTACCCTGAAGAGGGAAAGGACCCGAAGTGTCTTAGGAGGTGGGGGAAGAGGGAATAAAGGCACAGGAATGAGCCTGGGCAGTCTGCTGAAAAGAATATAGATTGGATCGTGCTGGGGAAAGGCCCCAATAAAAGATGCTGAGCTGAGACGCAGCAGCATCCAATCTCACTGCCCAGTTTGGTTCAAGCCATTTCCTTGGCTGAGGTGTCAATGGGTAGAGTCGTTGCTTTCAGGGAATTTCTATAAGATCTAATGCCAGTTCTGTTTCATTCCTGCTTTTACAACTCTGGGAAGCAAGCTTTGAAGCTTTCTCTCTCTCTCAAAAAAGAAAAATAGAGCATGATATTGGGTTTAAATTCTTTTAATTATCTTAGTAATTCTACAAATGAGGTGCCATTTAACAAAGCAGCTTATGACTACAATATCTTGATCAGTAGCCGCTTATGAATAAAATGTATCTTGATCAGTGTCATTATCTGCTTCAACATTCTTACCCCCCTTCAATACATCCTTTCCTTTCCTTTCCCTAATTCTGCGGTATATACAATAAATTCTTGACTGCATTTCTCCGCCTTCCTCATGTCACTCATCTACCTCTCTCCCCTTGGCTTCTCACCTTCCACCTCTTGCATGTGCCCATTTCCTGGTGCTGATATTGAGTTTTAAAGGACACTTTAGAAAAGACTGAAATGGCCAGATGCTGGTGGCTCATGCCTATAATCCTAGCTACTCAGGAGGCTGAGATCTGAGGACTGAGGTTCAAAGCCTGCCCAGGCAGGAAACTCAATAAGATTTCTATCTCCAATTAACCACCAGAAAACCAGAAGTGGTGCTGTAGCTCAAAGTGGTAGAGCGCTAGCATCGAGCACAAAAGCTCAGGGGCAGAGCCCAGGCCCTGAGTTCAAACGCCATGACAGACCCCTGCCTCCTCCCCACCTCTCAAAAAAAGACTGAAATGACCTAAGGGTTGTCACCCAAGTGTGGAGGAGAGACCTAAAGGCACATATTATTTATGGGTGATATTCATGGGGGTTTTTTTGCAGCAAATATTTAGAAAGCTTTAAATAAATAAACTGGAAGTCAGATCTTGTGAGGTATTTTTGAAGAACATCAGAGCTATTAGGGGTCACCATGGAGGTCATCACAATCAGCCAAAGGATCTGTAACACTTAAAAACAGTGCAACATCAGCTTTCAGGGAAGACTAGCAGAGAAAGTCTATGGTGGGGTCAAGTTCAGTTTCTGAGAATTTAATGCTCACAACCAAAGCCCCACAAAAGCTTGAGGCACTTATCAGACCCACTTTGAGAGTTTCGACTTGCCCTCCATCTTCTCCCAAAGAGGCTTTTAGAAAGTTTTCTTCCAACTACACAGTATGTGCAGACAATGCTAACAAATTATTTTCTCTCACAATCTAGGATTCTAGTGGAATTTTAATACCCCAGTGTTTAACATTGTGTTAGTTCTACCCTAGGGTGTACCTCTTTAAGAAATTAGAGTGTTTTATTTATACGCAAAGCAGCTATGAATTTTAATAAAGCAAAAATATTTCAATGCATTTGCTTGATTTAGGGCTAGTGAAAGAAAATGCATGAACTAAAACTTCTTTGGATGTCTTTCTAAAATGCAACCTGAGTTTTCCAAATTATTTGCCCAAACTCTTAAAAATTCTTAAGGTGTGAAAGCAGAGCTGTATGTTTTTTACGCACTAAGTGCACTAACTAGTACATGGCTCCCTTGTGTAACTCTTTTTTAAAATAAATTTTGGAACATGATTTTACATTTATTTTTGCTTTTGTGATGCTGTTGATTCAAGATCACTACTGGATTCAGTCTGCAGATATCAAGTACCAGGGACTTGTCCTTGGACTGTTGCTATGGAGATATGTGAAGCACTTTACAACAGGCCACGTTGTGACACGTTTGCAAGAACAGAATACAAGGAAAGTCTGTGTTTCCTATGTTTCAAGACAGTCTAACACTCACCAATCTGTGCAGCACAGAACCAAGAAGTGCTTTAATATTCCAAGGAGTTAGGGATACACTCCAAGAACAGTCTCTAGCGATAGTTAAAAATAAATAGAATGGCTGCCTTTTCTGGAAGGCAGGCTATACAAAGAGCAGCATTCACCTAGCTAAATGCTCAGCCCCCAAACCTTTGCCTTATTCACCATGGCATATTTCCTGAGTGGAGGAGGGTTGGGAAGATGATACTGAGGAGGTTTTTGTAGACTGATGTCATTTTCTGTCTTAAAACTGTGACATCTTAGTTACACAAGCAACCCTAAATTGCCTGATCCCAGCCCATTTCCACAGGTCACATATGAAAGAAAGACAGGGGGAAAGAGAGAGAAAGAGAGACACAGAGAGACAGAGGCAAAGAGATAGAGGGAGGGAGTACACATGGCAAAGGGGAAAATGCTTGAGAGTCCGAAGTCCAAAGTCAGGTGGGTTCAAATCCCATAGCCACTGCTGCTTGAGATACTGGATTTGACTAAATCTGAGTCTTGGTTTCTTCAACTATACATGAATAAGCCATCCCTTGGAAGATTCCAAATAATATTTTAAAGTGTTCAATACCTAGGCATGTCACCAACACTAAAACAAACTTAGAAGCTAATGTCATCAGCTGGCAGACAGAAGAGTGAATGATATATAAAATGTGGCTCTCAGTTGGACACACATTGTCACATATATATGCTATAATACACTCTCATCAGCTCTATGGAAAACTGCTTTTCTCAGATCTTTTCTCAAATATTACTTTCTCAATGAGGTTTGTGTTGATCACTCTTACAACCTTTTATCCCAGCGTTTTGTATTCTGGTTTACCGAATTTACTATTAACCAGAGTGTGTGTGTGTGTGTGTGTGTGTGTGTGTGTGTGTGTGTGTGTGTGTGTGTGTGTGTGTGTGTGTGTGTGTGTGTGTGTGTGTGTGTGTCTTTCTGACATATTATTACTATTTTCTCTACTGTTTTTCTAGTAGAAGATAAACTTTGTTTTGCCTGCCTACTGATAGATTTTTTAGCACCTTGTGGATACTCCCCCAACCCCCTACCCACTTTTCTGGGGTTTGAACTCAGGGCCTTGGCTCCCTAGGCAAGTGCTTGATCTCTTGAGACCTACCTCAGAATTTGTTGTTGTTGTTGTTGCAGGCCCTGGGGCTTGAACTCAGGACCTGGGTGCTATCCTTGAGATTTTTTTCTCCTAAAAGCTAGCTCTTTGCTCCTTGAGCCACATCACCACTTCTGGCTTTATTGGTGTTTCACTGAAGGTAAGACTCTCACAACTTTCCTTCCCAGGCTAGCTTTGAATCATGATCCTCACATCTCACCCTCCTGAGTAGCTAGGATTACAGGGGTGAGTCACCAGTGCCCAGCATCTCAGAACTTCTTTCCTTTTAGTTTCTCCTTTTAACTCAGGAAGGTTCTCATGTTTCTGTTGTTGACTGTTTACTTTTTTTCCTAAAGATGGACTTCAGATTACAATCTTCCTACCCACGGCCTCCAGTGCAGCCACGATGCTTGGCTTATGGATATCTCAATCCATAAGCCATGAACTCCCCTCATTCCTTGGGCTGACCTCAAACTGTGATGCTCCCAGTGTCACTTCCCAAGTAGCTGGGATTACAAATGTGAGTCACTATGCCCAACCCTTGTGGATTCTTGATATCTATTGATTGAGTGATGAAGGAACTTCGTTCAGATTTGTTTTGCATTTTTGAATGTTGAATCCACAGAGGGTGATGCTTTGTCATTGCATTCTCATGTCAGCTATAGGTCAGGACAAACACCAAGTGCCCTGCTCAGAACCAAGGAAGTGCATTCAGCCAGTTGACACAAAGGCCATGCGGCACAAGAGACAGAAAGTGATTCTGGCACAGGGTTGAATGTTCACCACCATGTGCTCCAAACCTAAATCCTTCACACCTTGGGCCCATCAAGGCACCCAAGGGTAACATATTTGAACTTTCCATGAAAGCTCTAGGCAACACCTGTGAAACCAACATTGCTGCGAGCGTGGTGCTGATCAAGTTCCCAATGTTCACACAATCTGCTTTTCGAACTCTGTGGACAGGTTCCACATCCGCTAATGATTCAGACCTTGTTCAAGCAGATGTGTCAACATCTCCCCAAGACTCCAGATATCAATCAACTAGCAGTGACTGGAATTTTAATCAACCACAGGAGCTCTCAACGAGAATGGAAATATCTCCATGATGCTCCAAGATGCTGCCTGTTGATCCTGACCACCACGTCTTCAACAACCACCTCATCTTTGAGAAATGGAGCAAGACCTCAGAGAGAGCAAAGGAGACCTCATCAGCACATGATCAATATTTGTTGAAGGAATGAATGAACATAGCTAATTCAACACATGTTTCAAAGACCCTTCACAAAACCCAACCAACAATTCAAGGCTGAGGTGCTGTAGACAAGACTCGGTTTAGCAGGATGGATGAGACTTGGTGGCAGGATATGAAGACAACCAGAGTAGTAGAGACTCATGAACTATTATATCTAAAAGGAAGCAAAAGAGTTCTTTCTTGTACTAGACTTTATGGAGAGCAAAATTGCATCATTTTGTTTTTAAAAAGGCTAAGTCAAAGCCCAACAAAATATGTGCCAGGAAATGGGTACTTGCAAGAGCGGAGGTTGGGTTCAAGGAAAGAAGGGTAGAATGAAGGAGGGAAGAGGGGAGAATGCAGACAAGAATGCATTGTATATACCACAGAACTGAGACGTATAAGGAAAGGGATGAGTTGAAGGGGGTGGAGATGTGGAAGGGATGACACATATCAAGAGGCATGGTACATAAACGGCTTTGTTAAATGGCAAAAAAAAAAAAAATTCAGTACATAACCTAAAACTAAGATAAGTGCGGGAAAGGGGTGGGTTGTGAGGGGTGGGTGAGAATGTTGAAAAGGGCAGCGTTGATCAAGATGTGTTGTATTCATAAATTGCTTTGGTGAATGGCAATTCCCTGACACAACTACTTAAAGGTAACAAACATTTTCAAAATTAAGAGTTCTTTCTTCCTGAAGACTGGGGTAAGAAAGTTGATAAAAAATACTTTGTGACTTCTAAGAAGGAAAAATAATAGAAAATTACAGCTTTAGAAGTATTGGAGTCCCCCATCTAATGAATAGGCTTTACTGAATTTTAATTTGGAAATCAGCCAAACTGATCACCTTCCCACCACCGCCACAGCTGTTACCAAGGCAACAATACTGAACCTGTCCTGCCCTGGTCTAACATCACAACTTAATTCAGTTGGGACCATTGCATGCTTATTTTTATATATCTATACATTCATACAACAACAACACAGGACCTAGCACTTAGTAAGTATACTGTAAATATCAGGCAAGTAAAAAAATGAACAGAAGGTCAAAATGGGTCTCCAGGCCCTAGACAACGAGAACCATCAAAGACAAGTTTCATGCAAAGCGAGGATGTCCATAAATATCTTGAATCTTGGACCTATGACTCTAGAACATTCTTCCTGTCAGTGTTTGAAACAAGTTCCACTGTTGCCATGGTTTAAAGACCAGCATCTAGAGATAGAAAGGATGAGCCACCTGGATGAAATAGGACCCTGGCCCTAAGAGAGACTAAAATGGAACTCTTTTCCTCTTTATCTCTCTTCTTCTTCTTCTGTTTTTTGGTCCAAGACTGGGACTCAAACTCATTTGGTATCTGATGCTTTCAACCCATTGGCCTAGCACTGTACCAACCAAGCCACACCTCCAGCCCAGAAATTTTTCTTAAAGGGGAAAACAAACATAACTTAGGCTTTGAGGGTCTTGTGTTCTGTAGTACTTAACATCATGTTTATCAGTAAAGTTATGCATATTACATAAAAGCATGCGCATGGCCCTTCTCTAGTAAAATCCTATTTACAGTTACACATTAGAATTTCAGTTAATTTCCTCCTTCTTTCTTCTTCTTCTTCTTCTTCTTCTTCTTCTTCTTCTTCTTCTTCTTCTTCTTCTTCTTCTTCTTCTTCTTCTTCTTCCTCCTCCTCCTCCTCCTCCTCCTCTTCCTCCTCCCCCTCCCCCTTCTCCTCCTCCTACTCCTCCTCCTTCTTTTTAACCATTTATAGAGAGCCATTCTTAATTCACAGGATAGGAAGAAAAGCAATGCTCTTTCGTTTCCTGCCCCCTGCTGTCTATGCGTGTACGGTTCTTTAGGATTTTGGTTTTACATTGTGTATCAGTAATAGGGCTTAAACTCAGGCCTCCCTCTCTCTCTCTCTCTCACTTGGATTTCTTGTTTACAGCTCGTGCTATACTTCTTGAGCCATCTTATCAGCTCAGCTTTTTTCTAGTTAGTTGGAGACAGAGTCTTAAGAACTTTTCTGCCTAGGCTAGCCTTGAATCACAATCTTCCAGATCTCAGTCTCCTAAGTAGCTAGGATTATGGGGAGCCTCTGATGCCCCACAAACACATTCTTTTTTATTTGTTTGTTTATTACCGGTCCTGGGGTTTGAACTCAGGGCCTGGGCACTGTCCCTGAACCTCTTTGTGCTCCAGGCTAGTGCTCTGCCACTTGAGTCACAGAACCACTTCCATCGTTTTCTGTGTAATGTATTGGAGATAAGAATCTCACAGACTTTCCTGCCCAGGCTGGCTTCAAAGCATGATCCTCAGATCTCAGCCTCTTGAGTAACACATTCATTTTATCTCATACTTAAATTTTCTTCTGCCCAATGCTAGGAGAACAACCTATAACTGCAAAAGTCTTAGTGTTGACCATTTTGAGGTTTTTTGGTTGGTTGGTTGTTTTTTTTAGTAACAACTTTTGCTAGGTGCTGGTGGCTCTCACCTGTAATTAGCCACTCCGGAGGCTGAGAGCTGAGGATCACAGTTCAAAACCAGCCCAGAGAAGAAAAGTCCCCATGAGACTCTAAACTCTAGTTAACCACTCAAAAACTGGAAGTGGTGTTGTTGCCCAAATGGTAGAACACTAGCCTTGAGCACAAAGAGGTTCAAGGATAATACCCAGGCTCTGAGTTCAAGCCTCACACCAACAAAAAAATTAAAAAAAATTAACTTTATAACACAAATATAAAGAGAAGCAGAACTTACTAGGGTAATATTTATTGTTCCAAGCAACTTTTCTAGAGAAATTTCAAGGGCAACCACTGTTTTGAATAGTCTTTAATGAGCATGACAATATAAGCCAGAGATGTTATAAATATTCATGATTTATGAAACTTGAACTAAACTCATGAATGCTGTAGATAGTGCTAGTGTTGGAAGAATGAAGTTTGTGCATTACTCTGCTCAGGTATCCATGTTCTTAACTAATTGTATAGCTGGCCTCATAACAATGCCAACATCTTCCATCTCATCTTGAATAACATCAATTCCCTATCATAGAAGTACAAGGACAGAAAAACATTTTGAATGTTGGGAATCAGAGTTAGTCTCCTCTATCAATATCTATATGAATACCTATAAAATGAACTTCTTTTAAACCTAAATATCAACATTCGTTTTCTTCCCAATGAAAACTTACCGTGACCATGTCTCATAAAAGCTAAAACTCATATACATAATCTCATTTTCCTTTTTACTGTGGCTGCCAGAAAACTCAAAGTCAAGTGTATAACCCAATTATAAAAATCATATAGATGTTTATCTTCAGATTTTATTAATACTTTCCATGACCAAAGCTTTTACATTTTCTCCCAACTTTATATTTCTGTAAGATCTTTCATGCTCTTTGTAGATAAAAGCTGTATCAATTACATAATTAGTTCCCTAATCTTAGTTGTGTTTTCACTCAGGTACACCATGAACCACATTGACAATACAATCTGATGCATTAAATGAAGCATTTCTTTCCAATGTCCTCATTCTCAGGGTTGCCTTCCGCTCCTCCATATGTTTCTGTTCTTCATCTGCCTGCTAGTTTTTTTTTGTTGTTATGGCACTTAATATTTATACAAACAATAACAAAAAACAAACACGGAAGAGCTTCTGCCCACTTCCTGCCAATTATTAAATTTCAGGCCAAGTTGTGTGTGATTGAATCCAACTTGGTGCAACTAGAGATGAGTGAAATGAGACAGTCTTGACAGTCATTTTCAAAGTGGAAGTCCCAAATTTTTAAAGGCCTAGGAAAGTAACATGAGTTAAGGGTCTCAGAGTACTTCTCCTATTAAGTCAGTCCACCAGGATTGGTGGAGTATTTGCTATGTGTAAGGCCTTACAATATTAAAAATAAAATCAACCAATTAGATTCTGTATCAAAACTTGGAGTCTCACCCTCTTGTAAAGAGGAATTAAGAGTTTTAGATAGCAGAGGAAGAGAAAGGATGTAAGTAATGAGAGCCACACTCAAGATGCTGTGTGTGAATTTGCCATGTCTTGTAGTTCAGATGCACAGTACAAGTCTGACAAATTCAGCCAGCATGGTTCAAATATGTGATAAATCAGACAGGAACTAGATTCAGCTGCAAACTCTTATAAACTATAAAGAATCTAATTATATGTAGATAGTGTGCTGAACACAATGATTTGTATTTGTTTTAGAGTAACTCTGGCAAGGCCTTTATCTTATGTACTTGGCAAAGTTAGAAAACAGCTGGCAACTGGTGGCTCACATCTGTCACCTCAGCTTCACGGGAGGCTGAGATCAAGAGGACCATGGTGATGGGCCAGTTGAGACCCTATCTCAACAGAAAAATCTAGGCATGGTGGTTTACGCCTGCCATCCCAGCTACAATGAGAAGGCATAAAATAGGAGGATGGTGGTCCAGACTGGCCTGAGCAAAAAACAAAATCTCTACGTAAAAAAGCCAACAAACAACAAAAACAACAACAGAGCGAATGAGGCATGTTTTAAGCCATATAGAACCATAACTTAATCTTTCACTAACTCATAAACATATTTGTAAGAGAAGTGAGAAATCCAGTCTAACCGTGGAACACAGAGGTAAAATGAGGGTTTTGTTGGAACCCTGGCTCTCTCACAGATTAGTTGGACTACTTTGGCCAAGTTATTTAGCCTTCATGTACTGTTCACATTTGCAAACCAAATGTACCCTAATAAAATGGCCAAGGGTAAGGCCAAGGCCTCCCATTCAAAGTTAAGCTCCGTCCCTTACCCCCTTACTCAGGACCATTCAGTAGCAGGACCCTCTCAGCCTTGGGTGTTCCTCATCTATAACATCAAAGCAACTAGTCACACCTGCTCTACAGGATTCTGTGAAGAGCAAACAATTGATTCACATCAGCACCTAAAAGACCTAAAAACAAGGTAACACGTCATTATGATACCATCTGGCACAAGGAAGGCACTAAGCACTGACAGTAGGAGAAGAGATGAGTGGCGTA